TTACTACAGAGTACTAATTTTATTTTATTTTCCATCAGATGAAGGATAAACCATTTTAACTTGATGCACAGTATAAAACACATTGTTTTTGCTAATGGGAAGTGCCATTATAACAATTTATTACTATGCAATCATGTATACAATGAGATATGAAATTAGATATACATTTCAAATTTGCCTTAAATGAACTAGAAATACACTTTTGCCCATATGTAACATAATTGTGACATAATTGTAAACCTCGTTAAAATTAAAGTGCACCATTAATGCATAAATAGCAGAGTGTCTCATTATAGATTAACATTTCAAAATGTAACTAACTATTCATGGTTTGGTATCTTGCTAGTAAATGTATAGATAGAATGTTTCTACATTATGAAGAGAGCAGTGTATACATGGATCTTCATGCTACTAGCAGAGGAGCTATGTCATCCAACTATTAAGGACAATGGGGGGATGGCACATGTTTCCTCAGTGCTACTTTGTAATAAACAAAGAAAACCTTGAAGGTTCAATGGAAATGTATGTAGCAATGTTACTGAATGGGAGAAAAGATTAATTTTTCTTACAACCTTCAAGCTGTGTAAATGTATTTTTTGCTGACTTTGTTTTAGTTTAAAAAAGCGTTTTGAATTTTCAGTGGATGTCTATTGCACCATTCTGAACCGAATATTTTTCATGCAAGCTTTACATACTATTTGAAGTCACCAAAAATGTGTCTTTGAAAATACAAACAGCCCTATAAAATCCTATAGAAATAATGTAAACAGCAATGTGAGTTCCCATTCCCAGGTATTTTCCTACAACACAATTACATAGATCATGATTTTCAGCAACAATATTTGTTTTACTAAATCTACTGCCTGCTTGCATACATTTAATGCAATGAAACAAGCAAAGTGTACACCCCACCTTTGGCTTTCACAAATCACTGTATCCAACAATCACATGACTGCTTATCCAGCACAATGCAACATGACAGGTACCAAACAATCAACACCATCACGTCAGCCATAAAACACATATATGACGTGTCATTTTATTGTCACAGTTGTCCTTTGAAAAACCCTGCCTGCAAGTGGCAAACAATGCTGCAGCTGATGCTTCTACCAGGAATTATGCTGAGATATCATCAGAATTGCATAAATGGCAGAGCAGGCAACCTAGAAAACCACAAGCCTACTATATATATTTTCAAAATTAATGAACATGTAAAACTAGAGGATAGTACACAGCTATCTCCTTACACCTGCAACATATCCGCCACCTCTACATCTTTTATCTGTTCTATATATCTTAGAAAATATAGGTAACTATCACCGTATACCTGCATGCATCCTTCACCTTTATACTCTTCGTAGGTTGATATTTATTATACAGATCATAGCATATTTTTAGAAAACCATTGGATTCCACTCTGACACAGTACACATTCTCTAGAGATTCATATGTTTTCCTCTCACTGAACCTGCATGACACATTCTTAAACTTGACTTCTTTGATGGGAAAGAATTCCAAGTGTAATGCAGAATGTAGATTGTTTGTAGCAATGAAGATGAATGTAGAACATCTATAGGAATATGAAAATTATATCTTCAATTCCCAAATGGCATGTAGTTGAAAAGTATTGCACACAAGTATCATCTTGCAAGGAATTTAAGTATAACACCCTTAATGGATGCCAACACTTGGGCAAGTGTAAACATGTGGCTACCCCTGATGTTAACATACTGAAATATAATTTAAGATTTGCAACCCTAATATTAACAGTAATTTCTTTCTCATTTCTTTTGCAGAAGATGCTGGCTTTGGATTCAGAACGAGTCTGTAGATTCCAGTGATCAGTTCTCAGACTCCAGCAGAGATGAGGTTCACTCATCAAAACCATTAATGTCATTGTAAGGGTCCTTGGACTAATTATGATCTGGTTCAAGTGCTTGGATCATAGCAGGTGAGGCCCTGCATTACATACCAAATAAGGACCTCAATTTAATTTTGTTGGACACGCTTTCCAAATGAGTTAATATGGTTGGATAAACTTTTAAAAATTATTTCAGATTGTGAAAAATGCTTCCATTTTGTAAATTCTTTATATATTTTTAAATGTGAATGATATGGTTTTTGATATTTCAATATTTTTTAAAAATAATTTGAAAGTTTAGCCAGAAATAGTAAATAATATGGAAAGCTTATCCAACAATATTAATTCACGGCCTAGGTGTACTTGATTATTTAACATTGATTGTTGCATTTTCAACAAAATTGCTGTTGGAATACTTCACCTGTAAGAGACAAAATACATGCACCCTCTTCAAAATGTTTTGAGAAAAGTGGTATAATTTCACTATGAAATTTTCTACATTCTTTTAGATAATGTAGTGTTAAAGATTACTCAGATTTTAAACGCCAATATGTGACCATAATTGAAATGATACATTCTTTCTTAGAAAAAGCTTCAAATAGAGCCCCTTAATGCCTCAATCCCTCTCACTCCCCACAACAAATGCTCCGATATATATAAAATAGTCACTAGTTAATCAATAATTAATTAAATAAATAAATAAAGATATGCACTATGATCACACACAATATTAAAACCACTGATAGGTAGAGTGAATAACATTGATTATATCATTGTAATTGCACTTATCAATGGGTGGGATATATTAGGCAGCATGTGAACAGTCAGTTCTTAAATTTCATGGGTTGGAAGCAGGAAAAATGAGTGAATGACTTTGGCAAGGGCAACGTAGTGATGGCTAGATAACTGGATCAGAGCATCTCTAAAGTGCCAAATATTGAGGGTTGTCCCCAGGATGCAGTGTTTAGTACCTACTAAAAGAGGTGCATGGAAGGACAAGTGGTGAACCAGCGTCAGGGTCATGAGCACCTAAGATTGATGAGTGGGATGTGAAGACTAGCCCAAATGGCCTGATCATGCTGAAGAGCTATTGTACCTTAAAATTCTGAAAAACTGAATGCTGACCATTACAAAGGTGTCAGAACACACAGTGCATAGCAGTTTTGGGATGTGAGCATAAGAACTGGAAGAAGGTTGTCTGGTCTAATAAATCACATCTTCTTTTAGATCAGGTATATCACCAGATATGTGTGCTGTTTACCTTGGGAAGATATGGCAGAAGGAAGCACTATGGGAAGAAGGAAGGCTGGCAAATGCAGTGTTATGCTCTGGGCAATGTTCTACTGGTAAGCATTGGGTCATGATATCCATGTAGATGTTACTGTGATATGTACCACCTACCTAAAGATTGTTTTAGACCACATACACATCTTCATGACTATGCTGTTCCATGATGATAGTGGCCTCTTCCACCAGGATAATACACAATGCCACACTACAAAAAAAAATGTTCATTAATGGTTTGAGGAACATGGCAAAGAGTTACAGGTGTTGCCTTGGCCTGCAAATTCCCCAGTTCTTAATCTAATCTGAAATAATAATGATCCCAAAGCACACATAAAAAAGCATTTATTTATGCATTGAAAGTACATCAAAATATTTTGACAGAAAGAAAGTGCATAAAGTAGTGCATAACCACTTTATAGTACCAATACAACAATAATAATAAAGCGCTAAATGCAAACACCCATTAAAAAGGTAAACTCACCAAGAGTAGGAGAAATGAAAACCCAGACATGTCGGCTATGAAGCCTTCTTCTGGGGGACCTCTCACTGACTGATCTATATTCCTACTTATATACCTTGTAGAGTCAGACTAATAAACCTGAAAACAATCGACTGGATAAAGGGAGGTACTTGCTATTTATGTAATGTTGTGTGAAATCTTCTGCAGAATACCGGGAGTTACTTCTGCATATTGATGACGTTATGACGCACGTGCGTCAAATGTCGTCATTACGTATGGGCGTAGTCACGTGTTCCCGTAGTGCAGAACAACTACAGGAGAATGAAGTGGCCAAAATTGTTATAAATCAAAGGAGACTTATCAAACGGATGGTACATTCCATATCCCCTGCAGCACATCATATGAGCATTGTGTATTTGCAAATATAAGCTATGCATAAAATCTTTGCAATCTAAATGAGATTACACCAGAATATAGGCAAGAAATGCATCAGAGCAGTTTTGGCAGCAGAATATTACATGATATTAAGCTTTATTTATATAAGGTTTTAATGTTGTGGCTGATCAGCGTACCTATAGTATTTACTCTGAGATTTCTAATTCATTTGTTCATATTTAACCACCAATGGTGCTAGAGGAGTATGTAACAGCACATTATTAATGTTTTTTGAATATTGTTTTGGGCACTGCATGAACCTATCCTTTTCCTATTTGTTTCCATATTTGAATGGAAATGATAAGGTAAAGCTTGTCTATAGATACAGTTTTTAAAGATTCAAATTGTACTTAAAATATATACAATATCAAACAATTTAAAATATAAATATATATAAACAGATATTTAAAGTTATTTACATTATACATTAAATCATAAACATTTTGCTTGGCAAGCTATGTGGCCTTGCAATCTTGACAATTGTGCCTTAACTGTTGGCATCTTTAGCCCATCATTGCAAGTTATAAAGTACAATACATGCTTTTCTCTCTTTGCAGATATTTGAGGACCAAGGACATACTTGAAAAGAGAGAAAAATCTCAATGTATCCATCCTGGTAAAATATTATATAAATAAATAAATAAAAGTTAAAATTGTGACAACCAGGGCGTGGCCTGAATGCGGAGGAAAATGGCAACTTAGGTACAGAGCTCCGACCCACAAGCAAGGCGCGAGGATGGGGCACACAAAATGCCCAGATGGCTCCCAGACACCGAAGGGCAATCCGAATAGCACCCCAGCCAGATCCATGGACGGGTTCTTAACCCCCGCACCAAACTCGCTCCTTGAGGTCGCGGGCGCCAATATGGCTGACTCACCGACCCGTTCCCTGGCGTCGGACGGCGGTGAACCCACTCTGGCTGACATCAGTGCGATATCAGGGCCTCAGCTGCTAACATGGTCACTAAAGATGACCTCCGCAACCTCTCTGACAACCTCCATGCAGCGATCCGCACAGAGGTAACTGCGCTCAGATCTGATATAACGTCGCATAACAGCAGGCTACAGCACCTGGAAACTGCCACACAGGCTAATACAGCACAAGCTGAGGCCTCAACCCTGGCCATTACCAGACAGGGGAACATGCTGCTGTCTCTGAGACGTCATACTGAAGACCTGGACAACAGAGGCCGCAAATCCAACATCAGAGTGCGTGGCCTACCGGAGCCAAGAGGAGAGGAGGACGTAGAGGCTACATTTCACACTCTTTTCAGAGGAATTCTACGAGCTGAAGCTCAAGCCGCAATTGAGTTCGACAGGGCGCATAGAGGTTACACACAGCAGATGGAACGCCACGGGATATTGTATGTTGTTTGCACCAATATAAATTGAAAGAAAAAATTATGTCCAAAGCGCGATCCAGACCAACATGGAGATTCCAAGACGCTGAAGTGGCCCTATATCAAGCCCTCTTGCCCCTGACGCTGGAAGCACGCAGAGCGCAGAGGCCGGTTACATCCCAGCTCCAGGATAGAGGAATTCCCTATAAATGGGGCATCCCCTTCGCTCTCTTATCCAGGCACCAAAATGAATGGATACCCCTGCGCTGGCCGGAGGAAGTACCCCGATTCCTGCAACGTTTAGAACTACCAACTACAGAAATCACCAACTGGGTCCTTGGACCACTTGAACAAAGAACAGGACCACAGACGCCGGGACAACAATGACGGCGCGTAGACAGCTGGCGCCCGCTGACCTGGAGGAGTGAAGGTAGACAGCCCAGCCCCCCCCCCTTACCCGACCCTGTGCACATCAGCCCAGACGGAGACCGCAGGAGGGGACCGATCACCTCCGGATCCCAGATGAGATAAGTCTACTACCAAGCACACACACTGACCCTAGCACCCACGCTAGACCCCCAGACACCCATGGGACACTTAGCAGGGACATGAACTTTGTCCCACAGCTACCTAGAAATCTCTTTTTGGGTGGGGGTTTATGAGGGGAGGGCACCACTAGCAGGAACCACTGAGGATCACGAAGGACAATGCCAAGGCAAACATGCAAACCATAAAACACAGTGGTCATTAGCGGGATGGGGGACACACTCTCACACTGCAAAAGTGATCGCATAAATCGCTAACGCTGATGAGACACTCGATCCAGTTACACAGGTCGCCCTTATATCGAGGGACCCAACACCTTGAGAGGGACCCTTGTCGGGTGAGCTCCCGGACCCGCCTGTCCCCGGACCACTGGCAATAATCCCCCCCCATCACACACTCCGCCTAGACGAACACAATTGGCGGCTCACTTCACCACACAGACACTCCACACGCAGTGCTTGCATATACGAATACTCGTAATAACCTGCACAGGCGCCTAGACCTCATACCCCCTCCCTCCTAAAACTACCTCCCTACCTTACCTAAAGTAAGGTAGGTACCCCCTACCTTACTTTACATCACCCCCCACAAACACACGCGATGTACCAGCGGACACATTGGGGACCACCCCACGCAGCGACTAACACCCCCGAAATCCACACAATTCCACGAACCAACAACATGGCGTACACAGTAGCCCCCTTCCAAATTATAACACAGAATTGTTGAGGACTGAACACGCCAGAGAAAAAAGCGCACCTCCTACGGGAATTGAAAAGACACCATGTATCCATAGCACTGCTGCAGGAAACACACCTGAGAGCGGCAGAAACACATTGACTGAAAGATGGACGCTTCCCAGACAACTTTCATAGCACTCATCCGACGGCACGCAAAGCTGGGGTGGCGATTCTCCTGGCCAACAACCTCCACTTCACCCAAAGAGATGTACTAGCAGATCTGAATGGCAGATACCTGTTTGTAAAAGGAACGGTAGCACAGAAGACATATACATTTGCCTCAATTTAGCTTGGTTGCTTCATCTAAGTGTTGCTTCTAAGTGTGTAGTTGGAGATATTCTGGGGAGTTTTTACAGAAGCTTCAACTGTCTAAGAGTTGTGCTAAGAGCTTTCTTTTCTACTGTTACAGGTAAGATTCATCTGTAGGAAAAGGTTAATGATTGCACAAGGTTTGAATTCCTGTTGGTAATCATAAGGCATTTGATTTGATTAGTCAGTTACTTGCTATTGATTGCTGTTTAAATTAGCTATTGTTTGCAAATAAACAGAGGCCTACCCAGGTGTTAAACATTCCTAGTGGGTGGTGATTTTAGGAGTTATATAAAGGTTATTGTCATTAGCTTGGCTAATATAGCTTGGTTGCTTCATCTAAGTGTTGCTTCTAAGTGTGTAGTTGGAGATATTCTGGAGAGTGTTGCTTCTAAGTGTGTAGTTGGAGATATTCTGGAGAGTGTTGCTTCTAAGTGTGTAGTTGGAGATATTCTGGAGAGTGTTGCTTCTAAGTGTGTATTTGGAGATATTCTGGAGATAAACTGGAGGTAATCTGAGGTATTCAGGAGGATAAATAAAAAGTTAAGATTTGTTTGATTTAAATTATTCTCCTCATTGGAATGGCAGACTTAGTTCAGTGTAATAGTTGCTATGCATTTGTTTCACGTTCCACTTTTTGGAGATTTGGTTGTTGTCTAATCTGTAGACAGTTCTCTATCTTGCGGCAGGAGATTGTATTTTTGAAGTCTGAGATTTGTAAATTATCTGGTGAACAAACTCAGACTGGAACTGCTGCAAAGCCACTGCTGCAGAGACATACTAGAAATGGCAGATGGATTACTGTAGAATCTGGTAGACTTAGAGTTGTGGATAAAAGGCATTTTGCACAGTCTGCTGCTCTACATAATTCATTTTCTGCACTTTCAGAGTGTAATGGTATTGTGGAGAGAGGCACTGAGGCTAGTGGTGTTGTGGAGAGAGGCACTGAGGCTAGTGGTGTTGTGGAGAGAAGCACTGAGGCTAGTGGTGTTGTGGAGAGAGGCACTGAGGCTAGTGGTTTTGTGGAGAGAGGCACTGAGGCTAGTGGTATTGTGGAGACCAGCTTGGAGACTATGGTGAGGCCTAATAGAAAGCAGTTGTTGTTGGGGGATTCGATCATAAGAGGTGTGGAGATGGACAATGGTGGTCTTGTGAGGTGTCTTCCCGGAGCTACTGCTCACAGAGACAGGAGACGTATCTGTAATATTGTTAAGCAAGCAAAGCAGGAAGGGGAATTGGATGTCCATCTAAGTGCAAGTCCGCCCCATGGTTTGGGTAGGCATAGTTTGCCATGACTGAGTTGCACTCTCCCTCCTCTCCAGACATATTTCGTTACCGCAGTTTTGAGCATAGCGAAAAATTCCGGGGGCAGGTGCCAGGGAATGGTGCTGAAGCAATAGAGAAGACGGGGCAGGGGCAGGATGTTCATTTTGACCACCGCTATGCGTCCCTGCCACGAAATGTGGTCATAGGACCATGTCTTCAGGTCTTGCTGTATAGTGCGAATGAGGGATGTGTAATTCCTGGTGTATGTTTCGCCCGGATTGCGGGGGAGCCATATTCCCAGGTAGCGCTTCTGTTCCGTGCACCACTGGAAGGGGTATCTGCGTTGGAGCCTCTCCTGTGTGTTCCTTGAGGTACGAACTGCCAGTATTTCACATTTCGTTTGGTTCAGCTTAAGTCCCGATATCGGTCCATATCTATCGAACTCGTCCAATAGGGCCGGTATTGAGGTCTTGGGTTCCGCGACGAAGAAAAGCATGTCGTCCGCATACACGGCCACCTTATGTACCTGGTCCTTCTGTTTGAATCCCTGTATCTCTTGCGTCCGTCTTATCCTTTCCAGGAACAGCTCCAACGTGAGAGTGAAAAGGAGAGGGGACAACGGGCAGCCCTGTCTCGTACCATTGTGGATGTCGAAGTTGTCTGTGAGCGCTCCGTTTATACGGACTCTTGCAGTTGGATCGGTGTAGAGCGCTGTAATCCAGGTGAGCATGCCATTTCCCAGGCCCATCTTGGTCAGTGTTGCCATCATGAAGCTCCATGTCACTTGATCAAATGCTTTTTCAGCGTCCGTGGAAAGCATAAGGAGGTCCGAGTTCCCTTTACGTGCTAGGCCTTGTATGGAGAACGCCCGCAGGGTATTGTCCCTGGCTTCCCATCCTGGTATAAAATCTGTTTGGTCCGGATGGACCAGTCGCGGTAGAAATTGTTGTATTCGGGTGGCTAGAACTTTGGAGAGGAGCTTCACGTCCACGTTTATTAATGATATGGGGCGGTAGTTGCCGCAGATTTCTGATTCTTGCCGGGTTTGGAGATCACTGTAATTGTGGCTGCTAGGGTTTCTCGGTGGAACTTACCCCCTTCTCGTAGATCGTTGAAGGCGTTGGCTATAACAGTGTTCCAGCGAATCAAAGACTGGCACACAGACACTGAAAACCTGGGTCACCTTGAGAAGGAGCCCACATATTTCCCCACAACCAAGCCCCTTGATTCCCCTAACTTACAACGAGGCCTTAGGAGGAGGGCTCCAACCAACTGCGTTTCCAGTAACCGATGAAGTGGACTACGTCCCCTTGAGCTCAGCCCTGACCAACGCCGGCTTGCGCAGCCTCTGAGACTGGGCCAACATGGAACGCCTAACGGTAATGCTCCAATTCCATTACGCACAGCTGCGGCACTTTTACTACAACTTACCTAATAGAGAAGCGGTACCCAGAGAAATGTAATGGTTCGAACTCTTCTGCGCGACTTATCCCGAGGCGGATGGCAGAGTGTCGGTCATAGACCAACAGCTGATCACAGGGGAACTCACCAGGAACAACGCCTTCCAAAGGCAGTGGGAGGAACTGACAGGCAGAACTTTCACAGAAGCCCAATGGGGACAAATTCTTATTCTGCAGCATAAGAGTTCGATAAGCACCAGGTACCAGGAGGTAAACTTTAAATTACTCTCACACTGGTACAGGACGCCATCGCTGTTACACAGGATTTTCCCAGGGGTTCCTGATACGTGCTGGAGGTGCAAAACACAATCTGGTACACTCCGTCACATCTGGTGGGACTGTCCCGGGGTCAAACCATTTTGGGAAGAGATGAAACTAGAAATAACTGCTGTCCTGGGAGAACCACCGGATTTCAGCATAGAAGCTGCACTCCTACATTCCTTCTAGGGATCGTTAGCACAATACAAACGCTCAATCCTGTGACACCTGCTGAACGCAGCCAAAGCACTGATCCCAGCAAGATGGAAACAAACCCAACCACCCACTAAAATAGACTAGATCCAGAGAGTGGAGGAGATCCACACAGCTGAGGCTAGATATGCCGACATGCTCGGGAGGAGTGACAAACATCTTGAACTTTGGAGACCGTGGTACATGTACGTATCACAAACACGGACACAGGGAGGTGAGCAACAGAGTCACTAGTCAACAAGATTCCCACTCAGACTCCAACATACACCCTCCTACCCCAGCATACTAATATGGGAGACACACTAGACTAACACGACACCACAACTCGCACCCCTTTTAGTCTCCTTCCCCCCCCCCCAACTCCACCGTTCCCTCTGGGCAGATCCGGGGGCCACCCAATGTACAACGGACACGGCACAACAATACCTTGTGGGGTACACATGTTCCCACACGGAACAAAGGACCCATACGACAACACACAACACAGAAGGGATGACCCCATGACGCGGGTTACACCTAGACAGAGGAGCAACCACATGACAAACCAAAGATGGTAGAAACAAATGGACAATGGGACACCACACCACCCCCCTCCGAGACGGGATCGACACTCACAACACATTATTTAAATCTATTATAGTAAGGAGATGGGTACCCTAACTAAACACCAACAATAAAGAAGCATGACAATCACGACTGATAAACGCACTGACAAACCTCCTGCATAACGACATAGTCTCATCAACAATGAACGGACAAGAATGTAGCACATGACAGTAGAAATCCCAGAAGAGGCCTGAGTAAACCACTTGGGATTAGAAGACATTAGGGAGATGGTAGACAGATACGGTTGACTTCGACCTGGAGCAAGATTACACAAACCTGACCCCTAATGCTGAGACTGGGACCACATTAGACCAAATGTAACCTTAACACGGAGACGCACGGACATAATGATCAACATGCACCAGTGTAGTAAAGACCCTCAGCTGAAGCTACGAGACACCCATAGCACTATAGATGACCGCGCAGAGACGGACTGAGATACCCATACAACTCCCCTAGGGACCATTAAGGGACAGAAGTCAAAGACGACTGGAAAATAAAACTGGGATCACATTAGACTACCCAGCTGGATGTGATCAGACACCCTTAACTCTCCCTCCCCGCAAGTGGACACTAAAACGAGAATTTATTCAATAAACAGCAACTGCTAGAAGACCAAATGAAGGACCTGCGAGTCCACTATCGTTGCAGGCCGGTGTGCCTAGTTATCTTGACGCATTGCATAAAATAATACTTAGCACATGTTGTGCAAATGTCACTGTAGTTAAGAAGCTGACCGAGACCTGCGAGTCTCATTGTTACTAGTCTCATCGCTGCCTGTTTGAACTGCAAATAAAAACAATATTTTTAAAAAAAATTGTGACAACCACTGCCTTCACAAAAAGATTACCTGTATCTATTAATCTGTGAAACCGTCTGTTAGTCTGTTCTGCATTTAAGACACGTGGAGCGGACTAGCAGATTTTGAAGCTCTCTGTGCACAGCCTCTGTTCTAGTCAGGGCAGGATTTTTGGACTTATGTTTTCTACATATACAATCTTGAAATCTAGTTGAACTATAGCTCCCAAACCCTTTACAGTTGTACAGTTACACAACTGTGTTATAGAATACTGCTGATTACGAGGGAATACATAAAGGGAGTGACATCACATATCCAGATACAGTTACCAGCAAGGACATATTTTAAGTGCTGTAAAACATCTTAATGTGTCTGTTTTTACAAAACATATTTTAGTTTTTAAGTGTTCTGCTGTTGTGGACTAAAATATTTCTATTGCCTTGTTTGTTTGTAATTTAGATTAGTGGAACAATTGATAGTATAAAGAGATGGTTTTCTCTTCTGGTAGCTCTCTTTATGAGATCTTGAAACTGCTGCACAGGATGAGTTATTTAAAGATATTTGAAGGCTTATTCTGTGTACATTTATCCTAGTAAATGTGCCAAAATTTAAGCCATAAATACTACTGTCAAAAAGATGCTCTGTGCGCAAGTTTTCAATGTAAATCATGGGATATGTCATCTTTTTTCTCAGCAGCAAGATTGAAATGTTTCAGATAAAATGCCAAAAAGGTTCTATTATTTGAACTTGGGTTTTAAGAACAACATATGATACTTCACTAAAGTAGAAATTAGTTGGATCTGTGTGTTTTTCAGGATTATATATTTTTTATTGTATCTGTTGACGTTTTGTCCTTCAGATTCCATTCTCTTTCTCAATAATTTATTGTGCCTTCTTTGCAATCTTTTATATTCTTCATTCCTTACTTTCTCCCAACCTGTCTTTTCAAGTCTCAGCTTCTATCCATCTGGCGTAATCTTTATTTTTTTTTCTCTGAAAAGTACAAACTTTATTTCACCTTTATTAGGTACTTGAGATGTTTTAAGATTGTAAATTAGCAGAGCTCTCTACAAAATGTAACTCCATATTTTTCAATTTATTGCAAATATTTGTTTTGCCCAATACTGGGAATCTGTTGGTGCTTTATAAACATATTATAAAATAATCCTAACACTTTGTGATTGCTGCTATAGCTGTTAAAGTAACACTGAACTTTTTTGAGAAGTCATGGACACAGAGAAGGGGGTATTATGTGGACTCAATTACCATTACATTACCATTACCATTTACTGCTCAACAATGAAAATATTTCTGACTTGACAATACTTACTAATTGATTTCAGAGTGAGAAAAATCAATATGACTTATGAACTCTCAGTTCTGAGAAATAGCCCATGTATGATGATGCCGTGTATGGGTATAGAGTAAAGGAAAATTTAGTAACTGTCGGCCTTGTTTTGTTGATTGTATATTGTATAACTTGCATGAAGTGAAGGTTATAGTGTTGTTCCTTTCATTGTTTCCAGTTTTGTGATGATGCTTTACTTTAAAAAACAAAGATGCCACTAAAATGTATTAACAATACTATCATAGTTTAGTAGATAGAGCCCCAAACAGTAATTGGCTGAGAGTGTCCGCAGCAAGGTACAGATCAGGGTACGTTAGAAGCATATTCAGGCAGGCAATGGATAAGGCCAGTCAGCACAGGCTCATAAACAGAAGACAAGCCAAAGGTCATAAAAAGGATAATCAGGACAGGTACAATGCAGTGACTGAGCATAGCAGGGAGCACAGAACACTGAGGACAGGTATCAAGTATGAGCAGGTTTAAATAGGAGAAAATGGACACGCCTACTTAGGGGTCAAACCAGCTTCCTGTGTACTTCCCCTTTTAGAATCCACATGATCGGCAGACTTGCCTCTAGACGGATGATTGTGCAGGATTATGAGGTTGGGTCTGAATGACTTGGTGTTCCTTCTGCATTCTTTGGTGCAGCATTGTCCTACGTTTGGCAGCAAGAAGCAGTGGAGGTAAGTGTTGGACTGGGTGAGGGCATAACAATCATTGGCAATTTTTGTTGTGTGTAGTGATGTGACATATTTCACCCAGAAATACCCAGTTACCTCATTCATGAAGACAGCCTACCACAATTGTTTTGGAGTCCAGGTGAGGAATCAGGAGAAACCCTGGGCACCTCATATTGCAATACATGTCTGCAAATCTACATATATGGTCAAAAAAAGGAAGTTCAATGCCTTTTGTCATTCCAATTGTTTAGAATTTGCTAACAACCTTCTAGAAAAGTATAATCAATTAAGCTGTAACATGTCAATCAAAATCTACTTTCTCGAATCTCATCTGGACTTTTCTCCCAACTGTGGTGAAGTTAATGATGAGCACCATTACACCAAGAAGTTTCAGAAATGGAACGAATATATATGGGTAGGTGGAACACTTCTAGGCTTGCTGACTACTGTTGGACAATGACAAAAGATGCCCCAGAAGAGTAATACAAGCGACAAGCAAAGAGAAGGTACAATGGTGAATATGCCACGATTTCTGATAGCACTGTCTATTGCTATAAGTCCTTTCCTTTTGTATTGTTATTTGTGATTGAGTGAATGAAACCTGCTTGTTGTATCAAGATAATATGTTATTGTCGTAATATTGCTTTTCACTATGACTATATTACTGAAGCACAAATAGTGTATCTCAAAAACAAGAGCTAATTAAAAATAAAATCTGAAGTATATATTGTATATATTCAGATTCTGTCCATCTGGTGTTTTGGTTCAGATAAATTTTATCCATGCAAACATTTGAGGAAAAAGTAGAAATCAGATGAACCAGAATGGCATAAAAATATAAATAATCTGTATATATTTTGCAGTGCACTGTTTACAGATCAAGTGAGAATAGGTAACCAATTGAGGGAAACAAAGGAGTTGCAGTTCAAAATCTATATTAATATATATTTTTTTGTTAATTAACGTGACACTGTAGGCACCCAGACCACTTCAGCACATTGAAGTGGTCTAGATGCAATGTCCCAGGTCCCTTAACCCTACAGTGAGAGTTCTGAGAGAACTCAGTGAGTTCTGAGAAACTATAATAATTACCTCTGAGGGTTAACTCCTTCATTAGTGGCGGTCTTCCAGACACTCACTAGAGGGACTTGCAGAATCGAAATGCTCTGCATGAGGACCTTCAGCGTCAGATTTTTCCCCAATACGAAAGCTTTGAATAATGCTTTCCTATGGAGAAATCCTAATGCAAGCACGGTCCTTGCTGCGCATGCACATTAAGTCTCCCCCGCTGGCTGATATCAGTGGGGGAGGAGCGTGGGCAGAGCCTGACCCAATGCCAAGGGACATCGGTGCTGGATTAAGGTAAGTGATTAACCTCTTCAGCGCCGGGGAGGTGGGCACGAAGGAGCGGGCCACTCAAGGATTCTATAATGCCAGGAAACCGGCTTGTTTTCCTGGCACTATAGAATCCCTTTAATTTACTTTGTAATAAGTCATTACCAATGATTTTACAATACTGTGTAATAAATTGTTTGCAAAGCCAATGTAACCCCTTAGTGACCAGACCATTTTTACATTTTCTTACCGTTAAGGACCAGGGCTGTTTTTACATTTCTGCGGTGTTTGTGTTTAGCTGTACTTTTCCCTCTTACTAATTTACTGTACCTACATACATTATATACAGTTTTTCTTGCCATCAAATGATCTTTCTAAAGATACCATTTTTTCCATCATATCACATAATGTACTATAAAAAAATAATAAAATATGATGAAAAAATTTAAAAAAAAACACTCTTTTTAACTTTCACCCCCAAAATCTGTTACGCATCCACAACCGATAACACCCATGCTAAATAGTTTCGAAATTTTGTCATGAGTTTAGAAATACCTAATGTTAACTTTTTTGCTGTTTCAAAATATATATTTTTTAAAATTATCAATAGTGACATTGTAACACTGTTATCTGTCATAAGTCTCTGAATCACACCTCACATGTAAATTTTTTTAAAGTAGACAACCCAGGGTATTCAATATGGGGTATGTCCAGTCTTTTTTAGTAGTCACAAACACTAGTGAAAGTTAGTATTTATATTTGTTTGTGTGTTAAAATGCAAAAATCAATTATGAATGCTAATTTTGGCCAGTGTTTGTGACTAAGTGGCTACTAAAAAAGTCTGAACATTTGCAATAGCTTGGGTTGTCTTCGTTTGCAAATGGTATGCCATCATGGG